ATTGCGAGATAGTCTTGTTTATGTAGGTATTAACAGAATGTCACCATGTTCTCGACTGTCTCACAGTTCTCGACTGTCTTATAGCGTTTTCGAATAAACGGGGTTTGAACGATCTAGGGTTGATCAATCACTATTTTACTATAAATGCAAGTCTTTTATTGGTGGAGAGGTTGCAATGACGTCATTAACCAATCTTGGGTCGTTCAAATCCTGTATAATCGAAAACGCTATTACAGTCGAGAACATGGTGACATTCTGTTACACTTACATAAACAAGACTATCTCGCAATCACATTTGTGACTTTACTTCCAAATAATTTTATTAATGACGAATTGAAACTACAATCCATCAAAGCTCTATAAAATATCTATGGAACATCTATTGTTCCATATGATATCTATGAATATATCTAATGGATGTCGAATGGAGGTATGTATGTAATGCGGAACTGTGGATGTCTAGTAGCATCTATAGGAGATTACATGGACATCTAACAGAGGTTTCGAATCTCCATGATGGACATCTAGTGGATATCCATTAGAGGTTTTTGTTCCGTGTAGTATATAAGTATATATACTATATATACTTATATACTAAGAACTTTTCGAGTTATGAGGATTGAAAGTTACAGTAGAGTGAGAAAGGAAGAAGCACGTTGTCTCAATGCCGCATTCTCTTCTCTCTTATTTTACCGTAACTTTCAAACCTCATAACTCGAAAAGTTCTTAATGAAAAATAACTTCATTATAGTGTTTTGGAAAGCTTTCGAAATCGACTATAAGAATATGCAATAAAAAATAGGGGATTCTATTTAAAAATATCAAGGTAATCTTGTCCTGATCTTGGCGACGCCACTCAAGGTCAAATTGATAAGATCAGTAAATAGATCTTTTTAAACCCTACAACTTTTATTTGAAACAGTTTTCTATAAAACTTATATTTTTTTAGATATTTCAGGGTCCCAGTATTTTTTCCTCACCCTGTATATGTATTCGAAAGTAGAATATGAAAATACAAATAGTTAATAATTCACCACATGAATACTATATACGTTAAAATTTAGAAATGTATGTAAAATGCAGCCCGTAATATATCAAGCAGACAAAAATAATTTGTTATAAAATATAAATTTTTTAGCTACGAAGTAATGCATCATTGCAATTATAGTGGGTCACTGGATCATACACGTGTAATAGTCTTAGCTGTGTATAACACAGTGTATAAGCGATTCCGAGTGCTTTCCTGAACGAGTCCGGTATGAGGATATGGAGAGAAACGATGCGAGAGCGTGACCGTTCGATTAAATCAATTCGTAGATTCGTAAGTGGGGACATGATGATTATACAAAAGATCCGTTCTTTTGTCATGTTTCTCTTTTATTTTATATAAACGGTACAAATCGCAAAGGCATTCTATAATTTCAGTCAAATCAAACAAAAATGTATAAATTTGAATAGAATCTTAAAAATGTGCAATTATATATAAATATATATATATATATATATATATATATATATATATATATATTAGTATATATTAATTAAGTTTATTAATTAATTTAATTTAATTAATTAAATTTACTATACTATATAATAATAATAAGTATTAGTATATATATATTATTTCATATATAGGTATACGAAATAATTAAATTTATTATGTATAACAATTCTTTATAGATATTTTTTTTAAATTAGTTAAAAATTACGTCATATAAAACAAAGACTTATAATTTCAAGTTAAGATTTATTTATCATTACTGTTAATTTTTTTCCAATTCTACTGGAATTTCGAAGCAGCTGTCGTTGGTTGACGAAGTAGGAGGCTGGCTATAGTCTTTGATGATACATTCGCCGGTTCACAGTATAAATAAAGGACAATGACCTAATTGCGTGCAGAACGCGTTGTGCTTCGTCGACAATCACCGCGCGCGCGCGCGCAATCCATGTTGGATTATTTATAAGTGTAAAATTCAAACATTGATTTTTGCTTTTATAATTAATATATAAGAAATCGTATTATTTTTAATAATAAAAATAGTGCAGTTTTGCATGTTGCAGTCGATAAGAACATAAATTATTATGAAGGTAAGATAGGCATTACAAAATTTAAACATTATTTATTAAAAGTATAATGTATTTATGCTATCATGATTTTTTTAAAAGTATTAGAAAAAATGTTTGCACCATACATTGCTTATGTTATTATACAACACAAAATTTATTTCAAATTTGTGAAAATTAATTATATATATTTAAGACTCATTGCCATAATAGAATAAATGTGTGATACTGCATCAGTTACATGTGAGCTACTCATTAAAAAATAGCAACTATTAATTTTACTGAATATTGTAAATAAACTTCTTTTTTTTTAAATAGAATTATAATTGATATAAATTAGAAATAATTAATTTATTTTTAAGTTTTATTCGTTAAGATATCTAAATATAAATGTTTCTGCGCGAAAATAGAGCAGTGGTGGAAATTAATTTCACAAATTTCCACATATAAAACTAACAATTTACTTTTTCTGTGAGGTACAACGAGACGATTATACTATTTATGCATTTAAAAAATATAAAATTCATAAATTAATTGGGTAAAATAATATTAATCGAGAGTTTTTAATAATAATTGTGGTGTAAAAAATTTTTCAAAGTTTTAAGGTTTTTTTTTGTATATCTTATTGTTAATTGTTTTGTTCAATCGATCGGCTTTCAATTAAATCAATGAGTTTTATGCTAACAATAAGTTTAGAGAGGAAAGCAAAGCGCTTCTGTTAAGAACGCAACAGGTCCTTTATCCTTAGCTAATGATCAATAAAAATCATATCCTTAGCTAATGATTTAATTCGTACAAGCGAACGACAATTTCCACACTTGTGTGTTTTCCTCTCGACCTCGCTGTTCGAGCTGGTTATACTCGCTTTTCTCACATCAATGTGGCACAACGTCCCACTTTTAGCATACTAACAATTTGTCGCAATTTTCTCTACAGTTTTGCGCGTACATGCGTACGCGTTTAATGCGTTCGTGACTAGGATAGTATTAGATGATATGGTCCAAATAACATATGCATATGATAGACGTGTTGATATGTAGTACCGTAAAGTAAAGATCCATCGCCGTGTCATACTTTTCAACTTCCTGTTCCATACATTCCCTTTCTGTTTGTGCTATCATGTTATGCAAGAAAAAAAAATAATAGCTACATTAAAAATAATAGCTATATAAAAAAGCAAGATACAAAAAAAAAGGAGAAAAAGTAGAAAAAAATAACAAAAGGAGAAAAGACATATTGTCTCATTCATTTATTCTTCACTTACTCAATTTGGAGCAATTTTGTTTGTTTTCTTTCCCCTTTCTTCTAAGATGAGCAAAACAAAAATCTGATGTATAAATAAAATTGTAGATAACCAGTTGGATTTGTTGGCTTCTCGCCGTGTGCATCTGTTTCTCCGAGGCGAATAAAATTAGGAGACCATTATCTTCTTCGTATGCTTCTACGCTAATGTTGAAAAAGCCACGACCCATTAGTCACAGAATATCTATGGGAAATCCTGTTTCTGTCAGTGGTAATCTTCCATCCTCCCATCAAAAAATGCCTTACAAATACATTAATTACAGGTGAAGATATTTAAATATATTTTTATATAATATATTTTTCTTCGCATTATATATTACTGAAATATTTTCATTTTCGATTTTAGAATTCGTCGACCTGTGATGTACAATGCTTTGCCAATCAATTGGAAAAATCAAATTCCGATACGAGCAACTCTTAGTAATCGTGCAGTTTTGCCGCAACGTGTTTCCGTCAAGGAATTTTACTCTATAAACAAAATACCGGAATATAGTTCGGAATATAGGCCAGAGTTAGTAGCTTTACCTACTCATCGAGGAGATATCGATGATGACAAAGGACCCATCCATACGATTCCGGCACCAAATTTGAGCTTGGCGGATAAGCCTTACAATTCGATGACTAATTCGGAAGAGATTACAGATCGCCGTCCGTATTCGAGCAATTTTAATTATCATACTATTGTACAAAGTAAGTAAATATTTTTTTATTATATTTGAGTCATCTTGAGCTGGCTCGATATCAAGATTTTGACTATAATTTGCCTCGATAAATGTGATTATAATTTGTGTACAGATCCTATGACGACCACTTTAGAATTAGACACGTTGAGCAGCAACTTACCGCTGCAAAGAACAGCAACAAGTTCGACTCCATTGCAACATCAATACGAAGTTACAGAAAGCAATGATGTAGCTCTAAAAGAATATCAAACTGTCCCACCGGCAATACTTCAGCCTCAAGATTTAGATATAACGAGGCTATATTCGATTATAATGAACAATCCTCCGCAATCGAATCAGCTTTTCACAAATCATCCCGTTATCTCAAATATGGATGCAGGGCCGACAAATATGCAATTTGAGCAATCGAGCGTGCCGATACAAACGAATCTTCATACTGCCTTACATGTAGGATTTCCTGCCACAATCAGTCAGACACCGTACACTATAACGCAGCAAATTCCAGCAGACCTCCATGTAGGTCATCCGGCTCCAGCGGGACCACCGTTATCAGCTACACAACTTTACGAACTGTTAAATAAATTTCCGGAGCAATATACGTCAGGTAACATGTCAAATCCATAGAGAATATATATATGATCTAGGAGAAATTCGCAATAATTTTAAGTTGTAATCAAACAAAAATTATGAAATCTGTGTTTTCATAATGCTGATTGTTTAATTCCTCTCACAATGTTAAAATAAATTATTAAACTTTCGGACAATATTAAAGTACTTGTTACATTTTAATTTATTAATTGCAATATTTCTTTTACAATAAAACTTGAAACGTTAGAAACAAAAATAATATTATTTAACTTTTATGATTATTAGAACAGCAACAGATGCTTCAGCAACAACTTGGCCAAATATTTCAACGAGATGCGGTAACAAGTTTCTCTCAACCGCAAATGCATTCCTTCAATTATGATGAACAAGACCAGATGCAACAACAGCAACAACAACAACAGCAACAGCAACAGCAACAACAACAACAAGTTTTACTCGATCAGAATTATGCCTCCAAAAGTGTCACAGACTATAATCTTGAGCCAGTATCTCCGCTAGACATACGCAAAGAAAATAATAACGTACACGTTAATGAAGAACTTACATATCTTAAAGATAGAGCCGAGCAATCCGAAAATAATATTGATTATGAAGAAGTAATACAAAATTCGACTATGTATTTCAACAAGATACCCGATAACAATATTATATCGACCAACTTTTACACGACGCTTCCTAATAGAGAAGCTGCTGAAAAATTAGCTGCGCTAGCTGCCGCAGGTAATGTGAACAGTCGTCTTATAGGCCAGCTTCGAAAACAACAGGAGAAAGATATGCAGAAAGATAATCCAATGCCATCTAATCATAAGAATAGTGACAGCGATGTGAATCGACAACAAACCGATAGCGATCAACAACAAAAGAATAATCAACCGACATCATATCATACAAGTCAGCAGCAGTACAGCAAACAAAGTTATATAATACAAGATCGTGAAAAACCTCTACAAATCACGGTACCTAATGAGGATGATTACATTATGAGTGATGACGATCAACAGAGTGATATAAAAAGAGATAACATAGACATGGAGTACGAATATGAGAATGAAGATGGGGAAATTGGAGATTCGCAATCTGCCACTTCGTCCAACGAAAAACCGTCTTACGATAACAATTCTCATACCGAATTTGGTAGTCGTCTGCGGACGAAAATAAAAAATTAAAAATATATCATTAATAATCGACTGACAGAAAACGGTAGGATAACAGTATCGTAATATAATTTATTTATATTTTATATTTATATATATTGAGAAAAAAAAGTATATTTATAACTGTATTTATACCTCGTTGAGATAAAGACTTAATTTATATATATGTGTATTTTATTCATATTAAATTCGGGTTATATTTATACAATATACTGTCTGCAGGGCAAATCGTAATTGAATTATGCCACTTTTTAGCGTGCATATGACACTTAGTATGAATCAAACAGTCAGTGATTTCGGCACTTTAAAAAATAAGTAAAAATTTTAATTAACTTGTAGATTGTTAATTTATTTTATTTTAAATATTCATGAATTATTGTATTATATATACATATTTATTAAATAAGTAATTATCAATATACATTAATTTTAAAACCCTTTATTTCTCTCGAGTACAAATAATATCGATTTATCAAAGTCTATTTGCAATGTTTTCTTTCTATAAATTTACTTCATAATAATACTTCAAATTTTTGATGTTTGGAATTATCACGCTAGTAAGTATATATAATAAGCACTTTTAAAGTTGGAAGAATAACTCGACTATGCTATTTATTTTTTATTGTACATTTGCAAAAACAGAAAATGACTGTATTTTGTAAAATATAGATACAGATTATTGAAGTAACTTGTATTAGATTTCTATTGATTCACACGTTTTGTTTGGATGTTGTAAGAAAATTAAGAAAGAAACATTACTACAATTTATCCATGAACCATGGCTTACCATTGTTTGTAAGCCGTTTTGTGAGAATGTCACAACCTGTCTCTGTAACTAAAAGTGTATGTTCAAATTGCGCTGACCATTGACCATCTAACGTAACAGCAGTCCAATTATCAGGCCATGTTTCGTCCTTCCACGTGCCTTGAGATATCATGGGCTCAATTGTGAAGCAGTGTCCGGGTTTCATAACGCCTACGGCTTTGTTTTCTAAAAATAAATTTTATTTATTTTAATTCGATATCAGAAAACCAATATTGTTATTCATTAAAATGATTGCGAGATAGTTACTTACTGGCATAATGCGGTACATTCGGCGCAGTGTGAAACAGACGATGGATTCCATGACCGCAGTAGCTGCGAACCACGCTAAAACCATGTGCCTGTGCATGTTTTTGAATAACATTACCAATTTCTCTGTATTTTTCACCAGGTTTTACAATGTCGATTGCCTTAGACAAACATTCGTGTGTCACTTCTACTAATTTCTTTACTTCTGGCTTCACATTACCCACTAAAAAGGTCTCGTTCAAATCTCCATGAAAATCATTGTGGTATACCGTAACGTCAACTAAAAAAAATCAACAATTACAATGTATTTTCTTCGAAGCCGCAATAACATTTGTTAATTTGTTACAAATACTGTACCATTACAAATATCTCCATCTTGTAAAGGTCGAGTATCAGGTATACCGTGACAGATCACTTCATTGACAGAAGTACAACAGCTAGCAGGAAACTGATAATAATTTAGTGGCGATGGATAACAGTCTCTTTCGATGCAAGCTTCATGCACTACTCTATCAATTTCAGCCGTTGTAACACCAACAGCACATGCCTTTGCAGCTTCATTCAAAACTTCCCGACCAAGCTATGCAAATTAATCAAGATTTAATATATTCATGATCAAAATAAAAAAAAACAATGAATTTACAATACAGAGAATTAATAATTCTGCATCAGTGAAGAAATATAGCACCTTGCAAGCGACTCTCATGCCTTCAATTTCTTCATCATCGAGAACCTTTATTTGGCCAGACCCTCTTACAGCTTGTTCACTAAGTGGTATTCCAGCTGGATGTGTGGCATAGTCTGGTCGACTGATACGCTCAGGAACTTGCCTACGTTGTTCCTTTTTGTGCGGCCGTAACTTTCCAGTATAATTGTAGGTTGGCCAAGGATTATAAGAATCGGAAATTTTATTTCCATTTTCCCCCTCTAATTATATGCAGATGTATTACGTATATAATTACAAAAATTTATAAAAGTTAATAGCAAGAATATAGCACATATCCAAGATACTTACTTGCTAACTGATGAATAACTTTATGAGTTTTCCAGCTTCCTTTAAAACAATCCTAAAAGATTAGAATACTGCATTAATTGGTAAATTTTATAAGAAATTTCTTCTGCTTAAGAAGATGCAGAACTATGAAATATATAAATAATAATAAAAAAAAGTTTGATCAACTATGATTAATCAATCAAATAAGTATATGAGAATGCATACATATTTAAGAATATCTAATAATGAGCGACAGTATTGGCTTGCTTGAAATGTCTAAATTCTTAAATAATCAAAAAAGTTAATTTTATGTTAATTAGCATTTGATAATATGCATTACAGGTACTACTATGTGACGGACGAAATAAATAGGAGGGACAAAGTACCTAACTTAACCTAAAATACAAGTAACGTGTCTCACTTGACTGCAGAAATATGAACCCTGGATGCCGATTTTTAAGCAAGTTGGACACTGTAGACTTGCGACCGCATTGCAGCCGGGTGTCTCGCACATTCCAAGTGCTAACGACATTATTAGCTAAATTTTTTTGCGACCGTAAAACGTTGCGAGGAGCAACAAGGCTAGAGTAAAACGATGTAATTTGAGACGATCATGTACTGTTTTATCCAGAGAAGCTGTCGATAAAATTTCATGACCTTTGCGAATCTAGTAGCAATATCTTGCTACTAGATGTCGCAATATTCGTTATCAGATGTCGCCATAGATCTCTAACCAAAATTATAGCGTCTTCGAGTGAATTTTGATCATCCCGGATCAATTAAACACTATTTTACTACTCTTTCATTAGCGAAGATGATACAATTACATCATTAATCAATTTTGGGTCGATCAAAATTCATTCATTCATTCGAAAATGCTATTAGAAACGTCATGGCGAAAGACGCCACAACAAATATAGAATTGCATTTGAATTGTTCTGTATTTTTCGCGATTATTCGCATTGAAAAGAGTCTCACAAAAATAAAAAGTTAACGTAAATGTTTCTCATAAAGTATTAGACGTATCAAACATCGCATATCGGTCGCTATTATTGTAATTTTAGTATCAGCGATTCGCTTTTGTGTGCTTGTAGTATCATTTAAAATTTTCTTTGCATGTATCGTTTTATTTCTCGTCGAACTGCATCATAAATACAGCGCTTGCGTGATTATCGTATGTAAGTACGTGTTCTTTGTTTCGTATTTTATTATGTCGATAAAACTTTATATTATTATTCACCATTTCGACCATTTACAATATTTATTATAATATTTCGAATTTTATTTTTATCATAATTATTGCAAAGTTTGCCATTTCGACCGTTTTGACGTTTTGAGAATTACAATGTGCAACAGATATATGATCATTGTGAATGATATTTGCATACAGATATTCGCGTTTTAATGTTCTATAGTTAACCTTATTGATCTTGTGTTAAATTAATTGTATCAAACTTTTTTAAATATTTTAATAGTAGTACATTATAGTACATCCGATAAAGAAGATAGTTAATAAATATTATTCCTCTCCCCCTAAATTTATATTTTATATTTTGTGTATTTTATGTATGTGTTTTATGTTAGAAAAGAGAGGATGAATGCGCACTACCGAAATTGTCTTCAAAATACTGCCAAAAACACGTAAACAATGAAACATGTTATCGTTTGTTATCGTAAGTAAAATTTTATTATACATATATTATTTATATATATTGTGTGATAACATATTTGAGAAAGTTGAAAGCGTTTAAACTTTCTATTGTGCGGCATAAAAATTATTTTATTTTTCTTGGAGCTTTTTGATCAAAAACGATTAAGAGTGCACACACATTTTTGAAGTTGAAAATTTGCAAGCACGTTTTCGCAATTTTTCTAAAAGATTATATTTTTTCATATCGTTGCTTTTGCAGAGATTTTTTTATTTTTTATTTATGATATTTATTAACATGCTCCTATTTGTTGTGACTTGTTATTTTTATTTAGTACATTTATATTTTTACATAAAATATAGAAAAGAAATACTTTTTCTATACAACAACGGAAAATCTATGGGAGTAAATTAAATTTTTATTTTGTAATAAAGATTAGTCTATAATGCAACTTATAAGGGTCTTCAGTAATAATATTTAATAATCAAATAACATTTTTACAAAATATTAAGAGTACAAAACAATTTGCAGTTTTTACAAAAACAATCTTAAAATTGCAAGAAACGTGAAAAGAATTTTATCCAACTTCTTAGATTATTTTCCAGATCTATCCTATTGTCATACAACCGCGAATAATGATTTGTGTTCTGTGAATTGTAAACTCTCTGGGGTTGGAAGGGAATATTTTTTGTCTCATATTTTTAGAGATTGTTTTTATGAAGAATTTTTTTCGATAGCGCCGACATGCACTTATTTTTTGAATAGACAAGCGGGATCTAACAGCGTGATCCCGTAACAGTAATCCGATACTTAATACTTGACCGATAGAAATCGTCGCGTGGGATAGAAAACACATGTTCCAAGGGCGCAGGGCCAAATATGAATCGTGAGAGTTTTCGAATATTTATCGACGCACGCGCTCACATACATACGTACATATTCAACGCGCGCGCGCGCGCGCACTTTTATTACTTTCGTATAAAGATTTAAACCAAAAATAGCATCTTAAAATATTTTTCATAAGAGCGATGCTATCTCGATCGATCGTGTGCCATTTATCACTATTAGTTCAATATTTAAGAACATTATCGCAATGGGCGAGTTGTATCAATACCGCAATATTTACAAATTGATTGTAACATTTAATAAGTCACTATCATTTTACATTACATTTAAACATGAGGCAACGCAATTTTCACACATAAAAACTGCACGCTTGATGACAGTAAAGTCTCATTGTGTTATAATGCATCAATTGATCCTCACATTATTTAATTAAGCTGTCATTTAATTGAAAAAGATTTTCGTGATAATTTATTCGAACCATTTTAATAAAAAAAAAAACACGCGAGTATTCGTACGTGTTTGTAAAGAATCTCGTAGGACTGTTCGCTATCGAAGTACGAAAGCTCGGTCAGTGTCTCGGCCTCCAGGCCTCCCCCGGTGTACAGGATTTGCGAGGGAGGAGGCCGGTTGTTTCTGGCATCCCCTCTGGATATACATATACCGTATATCCCCCTTCTCCTTCACATCCCTCTCTCGACTTAATGCCAGTGCGAGCGCGCGCTTTCGAACGACGCGTCGTGTCCGCCGCGAGGGACGATCAGTCTGTTCTCCACGTTCTCCATGCGAGGAGGATCATCGTCAGCTCCGTCCAGAGCGCGAATCACGACGCGAACTTCGTCCGTTCATTAATTAAACGATCAAATGTGCGAGTAGCGTGATCATTAGATGGACTTGCAAAGATACCGCATATGAGGAATTCGTGTGACCGTACGCCTGCAAATTGTTTTCACATGTTCTCGCTTGTTTTCGCGAGATGTAAGCGTGCGGAATGCTGATGTGATCAATGACTCGGCCAAGTTGTCAAATCAACGTTGCACTTGAGTTGACTGATTTCTGTCGCTAATACAGAAATGCATACGCGCGGACAATAGTACATTTAATTTGTTATGAATACCAGCCG